AGCATGTTCTGCTGTTCTCAGCAGTGTTGTCCTTCCACACGCCTCGTTGCTGTATATGTTTTCTACCTTTGGATTTCTCATCTGATTTGTTTTTCTTACATTAAGGTTGGCTAGTTCAGTTTTTAGAATAATGAAGAAAATACCTTCTAAAAAGAAGAATATTCTAACTGGTTCTTGATCTTTTTCCTGAGACCTACACCCTCCTCTTATAAAATGGACCTGACATTCTTATCCATTGCAGGTTTTCAGGGTTCATCTGAGCAACATCTATGGCTCATAAAAAATCCTGGCTCCTCGACTGACTTGGTAACTATAGAAACGTCCTGTGACTAAGGCTCATGTGCTATCACTTAAGATACCACGAAGCTGGTAATCAGGCCAGTGGGAACCGATGCCATGTGTTACATCCATTTTATCCCTTGGCTCAAATATAATCTTTTTTTTTTTTTTTTTTTGAGACAGGGTCTCACTGTGCAGTTGAGACTGCCCTGGAACTCACTATGTAGCCCAGGCTGGTCTTGTGGGACTGCATAACTTTGTAATCTTAAATTCCTAGTCTCATCTGTGATTAATGTAAATTAACAGGTGAACGCTTAGTAGTTCTGGGCGAAGAGATAAGATTGTTTCACTCCTTGTCTGCCCAGAAGGAATGTTTTGTAAACCTTGGGACATTCTATAAGCAGGTGTTAGCCATCAACACGTGACTGCTGAGTGCCCCCTGCCTACTTGCTTTGAGTATAGACCCCCCCCACCCTACCTGTCCTCTTATAAAAACAGCCTATGCCCCTGAGCTGATGCCTCTCTGAGCTACTTGGCTCCAGGAGTGCTGCCTGGCCAGACTAATAAAGGCCTGTTTTCCAACTAGTCTGATGTGTTCCTTCCTGCGGCTGTTTAGCTCTTCAGAGCGGGTGGTAAAGTCTTTTGACCTTACTGTTTAGCTCCTTGGAGTGGTAGTAAGGCCCTAGGTCTTAGAGTCTCAAACACAGCGATCCTCCTGCCTCAGTTTCCCGAGTGCTGAGATTATAGGCATGCACCACCATGCCCAACTACCCAAATAAAATCTTAAACAAATGCAAAGCTAAGCAAACAGATGCTTGAGAGTTGAGATTTAAGGGTCCCCATACTGACTGATTCATTTATTCAAAATGGCTTTATTGTTTAAGTAGAAGTATCTTTTAGAGATGATAATTTAAAGTTACATTCCTAACTGTAACACATTCCTCCTCTATATTCCTGTTTTCTGATAAATATAAGCTTTTTTACTGTTTTTTGTTTGTTTGTTTTATTTTGTTTTATCTTTGATACCAGGGATTAAACCCAAGGTCTCACGTATGCTGGACAAATGATGCACCACTGAGTGCCCCAGCCCCTGCCTCCTGAAAGGCAGAGCTAGCACTGTCTGCAGTGATTTGTCTGCTCTGCTGCCGTAGAACTTTACCTTTCTTACACCACAGCCACACAGAGAATACATGGGTCAGTCTTATCTACTGCCCTGTCCTTCACATTCCCATGGCTCTGGGATTCCCACCCTTTACCCACGACTTTTGAAAGGACCCATGCACCTGAGCACATGATCCTGAATTCTCATTCCTTTAATTTAATTCTAGACAAAGTTCAAGGGGAGTAGGGCTTCCAGAGGACTTTGTACACTGCTGAAGTGACTTCAACAGAAAACGCTTCCTCAATAAGAATATCAAATAAGGGTGGCATCTTGGTCCCTGTTTTGTAGGGAAGAAACTGAGTCCCAGAGCACTGAAAATGGGCCCCTTCTATTTTGGTTTTAATCGATATGCTGGAGTCCCTTCTTTCTAAGTTTTAATGAGGACTAGGTCTCCAGGACAGACACCAGGTAAGTGCCCCCGGGCCAGGAGCTGGCAGGACTTTGTTCCACTGTAGTTGGGTAGCCTGTTGTATTTGACTGAAATGAGTGAGATACTGTAAGAGTCTTGCCATCTCTGGGTCAACCACCATATCAGAAGGTAGAAAAGTCCTTGTATATAACACCTCAAATGGATTTATATTTAGGCCAGTTTTGGGGGTATTTCAAATCCTCATGTGAGATTTTGGCAGTAATCTGAGACAAGACTCAGAAGACCTGGCGAAGTATTGCCAGAGCTTGCTTTAGGGTCTGGCTTGCACTCTCAAACGTTCCAGAAGACTGAGGTCTCCAGGTAGAATAAAGATGGAGACTATACTTTATTCCTAAAACCTTTCCCACCCACTGAGTTAGTTGAGAGGTACAGTGTCACCTGGAAGCAACTGGGGTAGTCCAAACCAGGAGGTGATTTCTTTGAGGAGCACCTTGACTACCTTCATAGCCTTCTCAGCACGAGTAGGGAAGGCCTCAATCCACGCTGTAAAGGTGCTAATTAGGACCAGTTTCTGTTACTTACTGTTCATGGTGGCATATGGGTAAAGTCTAATTGCTCATTCCCTGCAAGGTTAGTCTCTCTCCTTTGTACAGATGCTAACAAAGTTGGTGGTTTGGGCTTGTGAGCATTGTTGCTGGTGAAAAGTGGGCAAGCTTTAAAGAGTGGTTGGGTGGTTGCTGCAAGTCATAATCCTGTGAACATTTGAGTGACCATTTCCTATAAAGTGTCTCTTCCCATGTGCAAAGACTCATGAAGGGTTTTGGTAGCTTCTGCTATGTCTCTTGAAGAAGGACTGGTTTATTTTCTAAATATTGCTCTCTTTTTATTTATTTATTTATTTATTTATATTTATTTTTTGTTGTTTTTTTGAGACAGGGTCTCACTATGTACTTGAGACTGACCTGGAACTCACTATGTAGTCCAGGCTGGTCTCGAACTCACAGCAATCCTCCTGCCTCAGCCTCCCAAGTGCTGGGATTATAGGCGTGTGCCACCACGCATGACCTGCTGAAGTCCCTTTTAAATTCTCCCTTGGACTAACCCTCATTTGTCTTCCTGGGGTGTAGAGAGTTTTTTTGTTTGTTTTGCACCAGGGATCAAACTCGGGTACTTGAGCTTGTGAGGCAGGCTGCAGAATCACTGAGCTAAATCTCCAGCCCGAGACTGGTTTTTAATGTTCCTCAGGAACTGGGAATAAGGCTAGGATCTCGAGGGGTTGTATGGCTGTGTTCTGGCCTATTAGCCTTTTGTTTTCCCAAGGAGGCTTTAGACTTGTCTCTTTGGTGTATACCTTGCAATGAATCAGACAGAGCACCCTGTCTAAGAAGGTAGACAACCTCCTCTTTTACTACTCAGTCTCTTTCTAGTAAGGGAGTAGAACACTGTGGGACAATTAAGAGCTCATGGTTGAACATTTGACCTTAGAATTGACACAGCAGAGCAGACCTAAGGACACTCTGAATTGGGGTTTCTTAGACCCTAATTATGGATATAGATCTAAAGTAGGGTTCTTCTGAAAAGGAAGTTAAAACAGACTAAGACATGTTTGTATTTCTTTTTTGTTTGTTTGTTTTTGTTTTTGTTTTTGCTGTTTTTTGGTACCAGGGATCAAACTCGGGACCTTGTGTTTGCGAGACAGGCAGTGGAACCACGGAGCTAAATCCCGGGCCCTAGACATTTTTATATATATACAAGAAATTGAATATGCTTACCCATGACATCCCAGGTCCCCAGGGTTTGTCACAGAAGTTGGAGTTAACCATAGACAGGGGCATTGCAGATTGCTCCAGGCCCCCTCAGTCCTCTTCATCAACTAGGGAGGTGAAGCTTTTGGTGCCCCTTGGAGTGGGGAGAGTCAGCGCTCCCGTGCCGTGAGTCAGGCCCTCCAGCTGCTGACACATGGAGCTGGCTGGGTGGTGGCTTGGTACACTCATGTGCCCAACATTCCGTTTTCTTGCATTTAAAGCAGTATCTCTTTCCCAGATTGGTTCTGAGTTTTCCCTTGGACAACTAGGGTGTGCTTAAAGTACTGGCAAGTGTGACAGCCATAATTTTGGCCTCTCTCTCTCTCTCTCCCCAGCCTTATTCCTTTCACCCTCATATAAATTCTGACTGTTGAACACAGTAAAGGCTGTGTCCAGAAATTGGGCCTTGGGAGGTCTGGGGGGCTAATCTGAATTTTTTTGTAATTTTCACCAAGTATCTGGGGCTGATTGACTGTGTAACCTCGCTCACCCTTTCATAACTAATAGATTTCCTAATGCATCTTCTAATTTCCATGATAAAAGTAGCTATTGTGTTAGACTGCTAGAATTATAACCCCAGTTTGTTTCTGTCAGAGGGAGAGTAACCTCCCCAGGGTGATTTCTTTCACTTGCTGCAGCATATTTTTCACCTGCACGTCTTCTACCCTCATGTAGGATCCTTTGTTTTTCATCTGCGGTGCAGAACTGGCCAGGATAGCTTGGACATCTCACCACAACAGGTCAAAAGAAAGGGTAAAAGTTTGAAACTCATCTACAAACCTATCAGGACGTTCTGAAAATCAACCTTACCATTCTTTGCAATACTGGGTAACTGCCACTGAAGAGGGAAGCTGGGCTTGAGTCGTCCCCTGTACTCCTGGGACCTCTCATAAGGGGCAGGATAAGCTGTGAGTTAGAAGAACAAGAAATTCCACTTCTAGTGTGTCCTACAGGGCTGAGAGCTGTCTGAGGAGTGTGAAGGGGACCTGGGGGAATACTGGGTCTCCTTGGGGATCCAAGCTCTGGTGCAGTTCCTGAGTCACCAGACCACCCAGAGTGGTTGTTTTCATTAAACAGGTGTGGACCTACAGCTGCACACTATTATCCCAGCTACGAAACAAGTTTTGGTCAATTTTTGCCAGTTTTGTTTCTGTAACATTAGAACATCACACTTTAGCTAGGCAGAATTTAGGGGTTTATTTTCTGTCTATACAAAACTAAAGTTCAAAGCAAATTTAATTTTGCTTATGGGAACATTGTAAAGTACAGTTCTTGGTATTACATGCCTCGTTGGATCCATCTCAAACCACAGAGAATACATCCTTGTGTCACTGTTCCAAGAGTCAAAGGTGAACAGCTAAAACATCTTTAAAATGCACCAAGCTTATGAAATCTCAAATAAAACTTGAATTTTCTGTACATACTCCCGTAGACTTGTACATCGCTTCTCTTGCAAACTGGTCCATTTCCTTTCGTTTGGCCCACATCGGCTTTGAGACCTAAAGAAGGACTGGGTCGGCTTGTGATTTCTCTCCCTAGACAGGGATCTCTCTGTCCTCCTATCTCTAGAAAGAGACCTGCTTCGGCTACGAGAAAACCTTCTCCTTCGTGGAGATCTGCGGTAAGCGGGAGGACTCCTCCTGCGATAATCACCTCGTGGGCGACGACGCCAAGGAGGAGGAGGGCCACGATTTCGACTCTTTTTTTTTCTCCCTGGACAGCTCCACTTGGACTGGCAGCCGCACAATGTTCTTCTATCTAGTTTGCGGACAGCATCAACTGCATCTCCGGGATCCTCAAATTCAACAAAACCAGAGGCAGGAGTGTTCCTAGCAACCCACGCACTTCGTAGTGGCCCATAATAGGCGAAAGCCGGTTCCAGCTCAGTCTTGTTGCCGTCGTCGCCAAGATTCCCTACATAAACCTTACAGTCCAGTGGGCAGGAATCACGACGCATCTCGAGATCCAGGCTTAGAAATGTGGAGGCTCCACTCCGACCGGTCCCAGCGGGTCCTCCGGCTCCCCTCCGACTCAGCTCCTCCAGATGCTCTCGCTAACCCGGCGTCCATGAAATGGTCTGAACAATACTTTTAGAAGTGGAATTTGGAGAATGTCCGAGTTCCCAATTTTTTTCCCCTTATACTAGGGAGCGAACTCAAGTGCTTGTTTTAAAATTAGCTTGGGAGAGAAAAGAAAATGGAGAGTAGTTATCAATAGCAAGAGAGCCTCTCTGAGATATGAAATTTGGATACTGGAAAATAATAGCTTGGCAAAGAAAAGAAGCAAATCACTGGCTCTCGTGGCTCACAGGGAGGAGAACCAGGTTCCCCAAAAGCAAGGTAAGTACTCAGGACTGAGATTCAAGGAGAAGTGGCAGTGGCTCCCACAAACTTGTGAACAGCAAAAGCAGCATAGGGTTCTACTCAGAGAACTCCTTTCGCAGGCGACACAGGCAACAGCAGGAGAGCGACTCAAGGGCAGGCAGCAGCTCTGTCTCCAGACAGTGCTTGGTCAGGCATCATTTGGAGAAAAGGTTGATTATTTAAATCTGCGACTCAGAACAACTGAAAATAAACTTCACTTTAAGGCTCCCAGTGTTACTTTCCCACAGCAACTTGCATGAGAGACAGCCACAGACATGGAGCAGGCTACAAAGAGGTCGCCTGGGAAATTTAAACTTAGGCTAAGGAGGACATGAGCCCTCCCTGCTGCCCTTGCTGGGAGAAGCCAGACCCAAGTTGAGCCGTACTCGGAAGCAGCTGGACCTGAACACGTCTGCCAGTTTTAAATACGAACCCTTACCTCACTGCCTATGTGCATTAGAGAGCTGAGGTCTGCTTGCCTTCCCTATCTACCCACATGGGCAATAGCACACTCGGGGCAGGCATTACCAGAGCCTGGGGTAAGCAGAAAGGATCTCTGGAATAGGTGGCACACCCCACAAGTCCACAGGCTATCAGAGAAAACTGACTTCCTGAACCCCCAAACTGCAGGTACTGGAAGGAAAGCATTCATTCAAAAATACAGTGAAAAAATTTTGTTCTCTGTTTTGGACACTGTTTTCCTATTTTTTTTAACCCCTTTTTTTCATTTATTTTCTTTTTATCCTTTTTTCTATTTATCGTCTTCGTATTATTCCTTTTTTCCTTTATTTCTCAGTTGTTACTTTTATCTAATCCTATAAAAATCTTTCTGCTCTGTAATAGGACCCTGTGACCAACTTTTTTCTCCCCCTTCTCGCTCCTATTGCTTGATTTTTCAAATTTTTCTTTTGGCCTTCTCCCATATCCAACTCTCTATGTGTTTAATAGTACAAACTTTAAGTTTTATTAATCCTTAGATAGTTAATGCTATGTTACTGCTGTTGATTCTTTTTTATCATTTGTGGAGGTATAGTTTTGTAGTTAGTAGATATTTGCTCTATATCAATAGCTGGTTTATGTTATAATTGTAGATTTCTAAGGTTAAGGGTGTTACATTCATTGTTCTCTTTGTATATCTATATCTAGTTTGTCTTGAGTGATAATTACTGATTTACTTCATATTGTCAAGGACACAGAGTTGTTGCTCTTAGTAGCTTTTCTTTGTATGCCAATACCCAAAATATCTTTGTGACAATAACAATATTTCAGTTTATTCTTGGAGAACTAGGAGTTGGGCCAATTACACTGTGTACCTGCTTTCCCATATTAAAAGATATGATCAGATCTGAAACAGAGGCAAAGGACCATAGTTATCTGTACACGGAGTACATCATTAAAAAGATTTAAGAGATCTCTGTACTAGCAACAAAGTCTTTCTACTATAAGAAATTGCACACCCAGGCACAAAATAAATAAAAATGAATAAATGGACAAAAAATAGAAATATGAGAGGACAAAGAAACAAAATGCTTCCCAAAACTTCATTCCTACGAAGCTGAGCAATAGGGCATTGAGAGGGAGGAAAGCAAAGACTACACAGATGAGTTATTTGAAAGAATAACAGGAGATTTAAAAAAACAGATCAATCATATGCTTGTCAGGTTCATAGAAAATACATCTAATCAGATAATGGCGGTAATAAAACAAACAGGCTTCAAATGGTGCTGTAATCCCAGCACTTGGCAGGCTGAGGCAGGAGGATCACCACTAGTTTGAGGGCTACTTAGTGAATTTAAGGCCAGCCTAAACTACATAGCAAAACCCCATTTTAAAAAATAAAAAATACAACTGGTGAGTTTGCAGAAGACATTAGCTAAGCTAAACAAAATGATAGAGAATATGAGCCACCAGTTTGGTAACGAAGTAGACTCCATGAAAAAGTTCCAAACAGAAATCTAGGAGATTAAAAATTATATGGGTTGTATGGGAACCAGATATGATTGATGAATGCCAGATTAGGATTAGAATATCAGATTAGAAGATAGGGATGCTTTCAAATACCAATCACTCAGAGATAACCTTAAAAACAAAAAGACAACATGAAAAGTGAATACAAGGGCTGCTTGATAACAAAGAAGAAGAATCTAAAACTAATTTGAATAAGTGAAAAATCAGAAGACAGCACAAAGGGCATAAAAACCTGTTTACAGAAATAATAGCAGAAAACTTTCTAAATATGGGGAAAGAATTAAACATACAGGGCTGGGGATTTAGCTCAGTGGTGCCTCCACCTGCCGCGCAAGTGCAAGGACCTTAGTTTGATCCCCCCGCATACCAAAAACAAAAAGCTCAAGGCTTGCTCTCTTGGTAGGCAAGATCCCTACCACTGAGCTACATCCCCAGTTAATTCCAGCAACTTGGGGGACTGAGGAAAGAAAAACATATCACAATCATAATCCTAGCAATCCAACACAGGGACAGAATCTTAACTACTCTTAGAGAAAAGTATTGAACCACATATAAAAGTAAACCCATTACAATTACACTAGACTTCTCAGCACAAACTTTAAAGGCCAGGAGCATTAGGGTGAAGTGTTTTGAGCTCCAAAAGATAACTTCTGAGCCAGACTTATATGTACCATAAAATGTTCTTTCAGAATTGATAGAAACATGAAGTATTTCCATGACAAACACCTCAAGAAATTCATGACCACCAAACTCATGCTACAAAGAATTCTCAAGGATATCCTAGAAAGAGACATAAAAGCATCAATGTCAACCCCCCTGCAAATAAACCACACGCAAAAAAAAAAAAAAAAAAAAAAAAAACCGACACAAATACATGCATAATGCAGGATGAGCAGTTAAGCAGAAAGTGGGGCCAGGTAAGGAAATCAGCAATAGGAAAATAATACAGAGACAGGAATAAGCCAGAACCTTTCAGTAATAACTCTCAATATGAATGGTCTCATTTTCTCAATCAAATGCCACAGATTGGCAGAATCGATCATGAAAGAAAACTCAACAGTGTGCAGTATACAAGAAACGTGTTCAATCCTAAAAAAAATACACTGATTCAAAACCAAGGGATGGAAAACAATATTCCACACAACAGGAATCTAGAAAAAAGCAGGAGCAGCTATCCTAATTTCAGAAAAAGTGGATTTCAAGTCAAAACTGATCAAAAGAGGCAAAAAAAAAAGGGGGTCACTACATATTGGTTAAAGGAACAATTCAACAGGAAGAGAGAATAATTATAAACTTATATTCCCCAAACATGGGCATGCCCAACTTTGTATAACAAACAATACTGGAATAAGAACTCAGATAAATACCAACGCAGTTACAGTGAGAGTCCTCAATACCCACTGTCACAAATAGATAAATCAACTACACACACACCAAAAAGAAAAGAAAATCAACAGAGAAATAACATGGCTGAGCCAAATCTTTGAGCAAATGGACTTAATAGATTGTTCCACAGAACAATAGAAGATTTTTCTTAGGAGCACTGGGCCTGTCTTCAAAATAGACCACATGCTAGCCCATAAAGCATAGTTAAGTAAATGCAAAGGAATTGATATCATCCCATGAATATATTAGCTCATAGTGCAATGAAACTAGAAATCAATGTACAAAGAAATCACAGAAGCTATACAAACACACAGGAATTAAATAATACTCCTTTGACCCATAAATGCATCACAGAAAAAAATCAAGGGTGAAACTAGACAATTTCTAGAATCAAACAATAATGCCAGGTTGACATATGAAAATCTGTGGGACACAATGAAAACCTGTAAGTGCCCACATCAGAAAAACAGGGCAAGTCCAAATGAATAAATGGAGTACTACTGTGGCGGAGAGAAGGATAAACTTGAGTCATTTGTAGGAAAATGGATGCTCCTTGAGACCATAAACATTAAGTGAAAGAAATCAGACACATAAGTTTAAGTATCGTATGGTTTCTCTTGAGAAACCACAAATATAAATGATGAGCAAAATAAAGCACAGATAACGATGGGGAAAAGATGGCAAATCAGGGAGGGAAGGTAGGAAAAATGTAGCAGGTCTGAGAGGAAGCAGTGGAAAGGTTTGTAAAAAGAATCAACGCATATTATGTACCCGTTCCAACTTCTCCCAGTGAGTGCATCCCTTATGTCCTACATGCATGTACTAATGAAAAATTAGCTTAGCCTGTGGATGTAGCTCAGTGGTAGAGCATTGGCCTACAAGCATGAGGACCTAGTTTCGAACTCTGGCACTACAAATTAAATACAGAAAAATAAAATTACCTTGTTTACTTGTTCCTTGTCCGGCTCTCCTGTTGGACGGGAGGCCATGTGTCCGCCCACAACCCAGGGCTCACAAAGGCGAAGTCCCAGCCATCACCTGCACTCCCCAAGCTGAGGCTGTAGCCCTGAGCCCTGCCCCAGCATTCCTTCCCCTTTTCCTTTCTGTGTAGTGTGAGGACTGCCATAAAGCAGTGCCGCGGACTGGGAGGCCGAACACCAAGATGTATTGTTTCACAGCCAGAGACTGATGTCTGGAGTCCAAGTCTCACAGGGCAAGGCTTTCTCTGAAGGCTCTAGAGGAGAAGTCTTCCTCATCTCTTTCAGCTTCTGCAGCTCCCTGGAAACCCTTGGTGTGGCCTCACCCACACCCGCCACCCTTCCTTCTCTGCCTTGCTTGTCACGCGGCCTTTCCATTTCGGTAACTGTGTCTGCTCTCTCTGAAAGGACACCAGTCCTCGTGCATCAGCTGTCCGCCCTTCCCAGTATGATGCCAACTGATCATATCCGTAATGACCCTATTTCCAAAAATGTTCGCTTTTGTTTTCTGTTTTGCCAGTGCCCAGATAAAACCTAGGGCAGTGTGCATGTCAGGCAGGTGCTCTAGCACTGAGCTGCATCCCTATCCACAAAAAGTTCACATTAATAAAGTAATAGGAAATAGGAATGTTTTGGCTTGTATCTAAATGTCCCCCCAAAGCCTCATGCAGGCATAGGTGGGGCTTTTTGGAGGTGACTGGATCTGGAGGGTGACACCGGGAGCAAGGATTGAGATGCTATATTTAAGGGTGTGAGTACGTGCCCCAGGGTTAGGTAGTCTGGATAAGATATAAAGGACAGAAAGCTACATATTGTTGGCCTTTGAGGACACATTCTACTTTAACCAGTTCCCTACTGATACACACTTGCTGATTCTTTCTTTTGCTAGTCCCTAAAACATAGGACAGAGATTTATATTCTATGCTGAATCCTCCAGAGTCTTTTAAGTCTTCCTTCAGAGTACCTTGTCAATGAACCCTTATAGAAAAATGGAGTTAATAGGCGAATGAGTGAATGAGTGAACAAACAAATAATGATTGAACAACTAATAAACCAACAAAGAATGAGGGAGAGGTTGTATGGGGAGGTCCAAAGCAGAATGCCGCTATGATGTACTGCGAGCCAGGCCCACCAGGTGGCGCTGAAGGCGGCGGGCGCGATAGAAAAGGCTGGCCTCGCCGCTCTTGCCGTGCGCCCTGGCGGCGGTGCGGGAGACGGGCTTGTGGGGTAGCTCGAGTCATATGACCCGCTCCGCTTCCTGGCTTCGGCCGCCGCCGCCGCCCTCCTGTGTCCGCCAGTGTCGCGCCAGGGCTCTAAAGAGCCGTTAAGGGGTCCGGGCCGAGGCTCGCTCGTGTGGAAGTCGTCTCCGTCGCCGTTTCCCGCCCTCCCGTCTGTCCTCTCCAGGCCGTCACCATGCTGGCGCTCATCTCCCGCCTGCTGGACTGGTTCCGCTCGCTCTTCTGGAAGGAAGAGATGGAGCTGACCCTCGTCGGGCTGCAGTACTCGGGCAAGACCACCTTCGTCAATGTCATCGCGGTGAGCACCCTCCAGCTCTCCGCCTGGGTTTCGCAGCGGCGATCCGGCGGGCGCCTCCCTGCAGGCCGGACTCG